CTTCATATTTACCATCGTACTATTTATTTTTTTGATGCAATGTTACCACTCTACCCTAGTTTTTTAATGCAATCTCACCATTTGATCATTAAAAGATGGAGGTTGACGGTCAAATGGTGATGTGACATATGTTAAAAATAAAAAAATTCTAAAAAGCTGATGAGTTGGATTAAATTAAACAAACAAGAATAATGACATGTCAAAAAAGAAACAAAAAAATGAAGTTTTTATTATTTTTTCTTACAAACATAGATTTTAATGTTAAAATGTAAAAAAAAAAAGTTATTCATTTTTGTACAAATAGATAATATATATTTTAAAAACCGTTAGTGATTTGTTGGGATTTTTAAGAAAACAAATTTAATTATTTCTAATTTTGATTTAATTATTGATTTTATCCTTAGTTACCATTTAAAAAAATAATGCTTAATGATATTTTTTTTTACATAATAGAAACTAACAGAAGAATTGAAATTCTTAACCAGTTTCTTTTTTATTCAAATAATGGTAAAATTGCTCAGAAAAAATCAGTGTAGACTGATAATATTGCACCAAAACACAGTTAAAAGGTAAAGTTGGAGTCTGGATTTCAATAAAGTGGTAAATTAATAAAAATGGTTTTCTAACTTTTTAACTACATTTGAAATCCCTTGTTTTCCAATTTTTCAAATTTAGTTATTTACCTCATATTATTGATCACATTTAGAGTGTAATGGAAATAGAAAATGGGAAACATGTATGAAACTAAACGGCCCCTTGGTCTTTGGTTGGTGAGTTCTCTTCTTTCAATTATACTACAACTTCACTTCTCTTTCTGACACTACTGACAAATTGTTGCAGATTCATAGTCAGTGGATGGTTACTAGTAGCTGTTACATTCATTCTTTGTGGAGTTTTTGTAATCTTGAACAAGTAAGATGATAGATCTTAGGTGGAGATATTTCTACAGTTTTCCTACTTATTTGCTTCCTTATAAGAATCTAAATCCGGTCCCACATCCATTATAACCCTCTGCTTGTTTATGGAATGTTAACGTTTAATACGAAATGCATCAGTACCTTTGCATTCAATGCTTCAAAGGTGCTTGCTGATAACATATTTGAAATTGTATCAGTTTTGATGCCTGTAGTTTGTTTTAACAATTTGCTCCTCCATGTCATTTTAGTTTCTTTATTTCTTTCCCTTTATCATATATGATCACTACGCTACTATTCTTTATTGGAAAAATGCTGTTAAACAATCCTGACCTTGAGGTTCTAACTTAATTACTTAGTTTGAATCGTCTGCTTGGTTTGAACTGCATTCAAGTATAATTATTTTCTATGCCAGTAGCTGACTACAGCAATTTGTAGTCATGGAAAGGAAACTCACTTGATTTCACATTGCTTTAGTGAAAAAGAACACTACTTTCACTAGAATTTGAGAACTTTTGGTCAATGATCAATGTGCAAAATGCCCATGTGGATGTCATTGTCTTACAGATGATCTCCTTTGTGTGTTTCAGTGCAATTTCTGACACTTGTTTGGCTATGGAAGAATGGGTGGAAAATCCCCATGCGGAGACTGCTCTTAGCAATATCCTTCCTTGTGTTGATCAGAGAACGACAAACCATACACTCACTCAGAGCAAACAAGTCATCAATAGTATAGTAAATGTTGTGAATACATATATTTACACCTTTGCCAACTCAGATCCTTTCGCAGATGACACTCGTTATTACAATCAGTCTGGGCCTCCGATGCCTCCTCTATGTTACCCATTTGACTCTCGACTTCAAGATCGCCAGTGTGGGTCTTACGAGGTGTCTATGGCAAATGCTTCTCTGGTATGTCTATGAAATTTGATAATTTGGTTTGGATGTTTTTGCACAATTTATTTCCCATAGATATCACTAGATAAAGTTTCATCCTTCCAGAGTGAATCAACAGTCCCTGAATATCTAATAGCTATTTATGCATGTGTTGTGCTGCTGGATCTACCTTCAAGCGTTAAGTGATATATCCATTTTAAGTCATCTAATTATCTATGATTTATGCATTTAATATTGCGTTGTCATCAGCTTTGGTCAAGGTTATAATCTAAATGAATTCTGTTACATTTTTTTTGTCATGAAGATGTTCTGACAGAAATGAGTTTTAACCAGACACACCATAATCATGGTTATATAAAGAAGTGAATAATGGGTTGTGAATAGCATAAACCCAGGCATTTACTAGTAGATACATGCCTAAGGCCATGCAGTTTCTGAGAATAGTACGATTTATTTATTGTTACAACTAAATCTTCCTGGATATTGAGGAACTGGAATCATAAATTGTTTAGGCTGTCCTATACTTATGCAAGAAAAAATCGACTCAATTGAAATTTTAATTTTTCAGGTTTGGCAGAGCTACACATGCATGGTTTCAGCATCTGGGGTATGCACCACTATGGGAAGAATAACGCCTGACAGATTCACACAGCTGGTGGCAGCAGTTAATGAGAGCTATGCTCTCAAGCACTATACCCCGCCTCTACTTCGCCTGCAAAATTGTGATTTTGTCAGGCATACATTTCAAAACATAACCTCAAATTACTGCCGTCCATTGGAGCATTACCTTAAGATAGTAAATGCAGGATTGGGCTTAATCTCAGTAGGAGTCTTGCTCTGTCTAGTTCTCTGGATACTCTATGCAAACCGCCCCCGAAGGGAGGAGGTGTTTGTGAAACTATCGTTGCCAATAAAATTTATGAGTTGCAACAACATTTTCAGCACAAAGAGCAATGACAATTCAACATTGTCCAACACGACAAATGGAGTCTAAAGTAGACCAAGAAATTAGGTTTAGGTCTTTCATTTTTGTTGTACCCCCTATACCGGGAAAGAAACCAAGGTGGGGCAAAGCTCCATTTTGAGTTGGGAGGGTTATATACCATTTCCGATGTCTTATCATATACGTATATATGGTTAAATGAAATTAATTGTTCGCCATCTGCTTAGGTAATCCTTTTATTTCTCTTCGTGGTAGAAAAAGAATGCAATCTGCATGACGTTGCATTGGGAGAGATGTAAAACTCATTGGAGTTACTGCAGCAAGGAATGTTAATATTACTCTTCATTTAATTCTATCCAAAGTCAAACAACACACATCCTTGTCTCTTGCTTATTTAGCCATCAGGGAGACATTGCTTCTTTACTCTAGTAGTAGTATTTATAAAATGATTTGAGTAGGTAACTGTGTTACAAGCTCCTTTGGAAACTTTTCGAGGCATGAACGTGTCCAATGAATTTGGTGTTACCAACAATTTCTGAGCAGCTCAGGTATGCTACTTGTATACGCAATCATTTATCTTGGTTCTTAGGAAAAGCTGATACGGTGCTAGCAAAAGATAGAGACAAATCTGCACAAATATAGAGCCAGTTCAAATAAAATCATTCACGTTCTGATCTGAAATAGCAGACAATTAATGTTGTATTTAACTATTTTTAATTGTGTATAAAGTATTTCCTGACTCTAAGTTTATACTATTTATATATAAAATCCATAACATATCAATAAAGTACATTGCTTTCTACACGTTACTTCCATGTATAACACTGTTTCCTTGAATTGCTTCGACGAGCCGAGGTCTGGATGCATGGTCATTCAATGTGGCTGCTCATACTTCTTCTTCTTCTTCTTCTTATCTCCATTAATGCTATTTTAACATGCTGAGCTGTATGGTATATGTCGGGAAGAAATCATGCAATCATGCAGCCATGTGTTAATCTCTTAATTTTATTAATGTCCAATAATGATAATTAAAATATAGATTAGAAACATTTAAAAATAATACTCTGATGTAATAAGAATGTCATAATTATAACACTTTATATTTTCTTTTACAAAACATATCTTATTTTGTGTATTTTAGCTCTTTATTTTTTTTATAAATAAAATACAAAAAATAACTAACTCATAGACATCTGTATCAGTGTAACATCATAATTATGTATTAGAATGTTTGGTATTTGTTCATTAATTAATTTTTTCTCTATTATTTGTTATCGAGATGGTAACCAGAACCTCTATCTTGGCAGTAGCTAGGTGTGTATCAATTCTTAATAAAATTCTTGTTTGACTAGTTTTACTCCACCCAAAGTCATTCTTTGTTCTGCTATTTTATCTCCTTTTACTTTGTTGTTCCAGCCATCAATCGAAAATAGCTATGCCAGTCCGTGGTAAATAAGAGAGTACATAATTCTGCACTTAATAATTCTACTTTTGTGAGAAGGTTTATTCTTTGTCTAACTTTGAAGTTTTGACTAGTGATTACTCATTACAGAGGGAAATTAGTATATAAGCTGGTTGTTCATTTGCTTGAAAGCATTTTTTTTTATTTATTTTTATTGTTTTTACAATCCAGAACTCTTAGAATAATTATTCATTTTACTCCTCTTCTAAGAACACCAAAAATAAAGGTAGGCCGTGCATCAAAAGCTTTCCAATGAAAATTGCCTTAAAATATCTGCTGCTCCAATGAAAGGAGAAGAGGAAAGAAACATAGCATCAAATCACAATTAATAGGCTTAGCATTTTGAGATCGTAGTTAGCTACTAGCTCCAAAGAAATGGCTATCTAGGGGGCTGTTTAGTGCATGTCGTATCGCATTCAGAAGCTTTTAACAGTTTGCCTTTGACTGACAGGCAGAGCTAGGTGCAGGAGTGACTGCTCACAGACCAAAACTTTAACATGTTAAGCAAGCAGAGATTAGCTGCCCCATAAAACTTCAAGTTGTTGCATATTGACTCTCCATGCCTCAAGAAACTGCTAAATCTCATTATTATCCATACTCTTTGCCTAAAGTTATGGTCAGAGCAAGATATATATATAGTTGCTGTGATAATACAAATAAATATTATGGTTCACAACTTACCAGGAATCATGGAATTTGCTGCAATAAACAACCAAGCCCGCAACTTCTCCAAGAATAACATATAAGGAAACCACCAAAACAAATGACTCAAAAACTAAGAAGAAGATAAAAAGGCAGAGATTTGATATATACCAAATGAGAAAAGTTCAATTTCCTGCAACACAGAACCCCAGTACTTGACATATCGCTTTGAATTACATCAAATTAATCGTCCATATAGCTTCTAGGTCAAGCATCTCAATACCAAGCCTTTGTCTTAGCAGCCCAAAAATGGCATTAAAAAAAAAAAAAAGAATTCTTGATCATCAACTAGAAAAGCCAATTACAGTGATGTCCAGCAGTAAGCCGTTGAGAGGAAAAAAAAAACCATTAATAGCACTAAAATTCACCGTGATCCAGTCCAATATCAGATGGAGATTCAGCCAAAGTCTCTGGCCTCTCTGGCACCACAAGCACCTCTTGGAGACCATGAACAACAATTGACTCACCGTAATACAAATCTGGAGAAGCAATAGCCACTTCATTGATCATCAAGTTATTCCCATACTTAGTGACATCGATCTTGAACCCTTCCAAGTACGTCCCCAGCACCGATCCATTATTTAAAGCAACCAAATCAGCCCACGAGAACTTGCATGGAAGAACATGCCTGCGGAAGATGGACGGAAACACACTGAAATTCCCAATGTAACCCTTCATATTCATGGCATCATCAAGAGGAGCAAAGAGAGTCAAAGCTACGGTCTTCGCCTTAAACCCCAGTAGCTGCAAATCAAGAAACGAGGCCATAACAGAGTATCCTTTTGACCTAAAATCAAACTAGCCTCACTGAATGAATGATCATCACCATTTACGGATGCGACACAACTAGAATTAGGACTCGAAACCCCGAAACCCGGGTCAAAAACTCTTGGACTCCAAAGATCATCAAAGACCCATCATCGAATATAGGGGAGCCATCAATCCGGACACCGTTAAGGGAAACGTAATCATCGGAGGAAGATGAGGTGAGGATGAGGGAATGGTTGGGGAGGAGAGTGGGGATGGTGGAGGAAGGAGGGAGGGATTCAAGTGATTCGAGAGAGAGAGGAAGAGGGGAGAGGTGGAATTGGAGAACAGAAAGCGAGGGCTGGCCGTGTTCCAGGAAGGCGGGATCGTGGGGAGAAGATGGTGAAGAGTGGGGATAGAGGAGCCAGGGTTTTTGAGAGTAGGTCCAGAGTGAGAGCCATGGAAACGAAGCCGGAGTCGGAGAGGATTTCGGCAGCGTCAAGGAGGGTTTGGGAAGGCAGAGGGGAGGAAACTGAGAGCAAAGAAAGGAGGATGAGAGGAAGGAGAAGTCTGGATGCCATTTGGTAGGTGGTTTTCGAGTTAATTTGTTGCAGACAGTGAGAGGCAGAGAAATATAGAAGGCGAGCTTAATTTTGGCGGGAAGTGTTTAGACACGTGGAAGGATGGGATTGGGAGAGTACACTGGGAGTTAGAAACTCGTTAACTGTTATGCGGTTCTTCCGGATTGTTAAAAAACGCGCTCCCTTTGTTGGTGCAGTGCTACACCTACAGACCAAGCGCACACAAATCACATATACACGAGGGAAAATCTTAAGCTAGAAATATTTGTTCAACCTAAGTCCAATCAAAGCATGAGCTTTTTATTATTTTGTTCACCAGTAATCTGTTTTTTCCATCCTTATTAGGATCAGGTTTAGTCAGGCTTGACATATATAAGGGTTACCAAGAAACAATTTAGCTAGGCTAATTTCTATTTCTTCATCTAAATTACATTCCAGGTCTCTTTATGCTACTTCATTTGAAATAAAACACAACAAGCTTTAGGGAGTAATCAACTATCATCTTAATTCTTCCTCTTTAAGTAATACTTCATATTTTGAAACACTATTTTTTTTTCTTAATTCAAAATTCAATCCAGTGCTTACCATATTAACATACTCCTTTTTTGATAATTAAATATGTGATCTTTGTCTTGACATTTCAAAACCTAATCATAAAATGTTCAATTTTCTTTTTTAAGTTGTTGTCTCATTTTTTTTATTTGAAAGAGGAAATTTAAACACCAATCTTTAAAAAAAATCATATATTAATCAATTATCTAAATGTTCGAGTATAAATTATTATCTCGTTTTAATTGAGTCTATGATGATTATTTCAAACTTTAAACTATAAAATGAGCATGACATACAGAGTTGAGTTATGGTTTAACTTTGAACTGAATGAGGAGGTAAAATTATAAAACAATTGAAGGTTGTTCTAGTTAAGGAATTACAATAGAGCCTTAACATAATCGTTTGTGTCTCCACATTTGAGCATAAGCCTTAACTTATCTAATTTTGATACAACAAAAGGGGGAGAGAGAGGAAAAGAGAAAAGGGGACCGTGGAAACAAGGACCCATACATATATGAAAAGATGTAATTTTTTTATTAAATTTCTTTGAATCTATAATTACTATGATTAAATATATATAAAATATTTTTAATGTTGAAAATTATGTTTTGGATGTTTTGAATAATTATTAAATATAAATATTTTAATAATATCATGATAAAAAAAATGTTCTGAAAATGAAAAATATTGTTTACAAAATAATTCAAATAATAAAAAAATATTAATTTTTTTAATAAATATTTTTCTTTCAATAAATTATTTTCCTATTAGCAACTGAGCCTGTCTTGGCTTTGCTACGAACGGTGATAGTGGATAAATAAAATAAGTGCTACTCTTTTTTAACAGCTCATTGAACGACCTTTATTTCTTAATTGACGATGTAAGAGTCCTTAAAAGCTTCCGCGAAAGCGCCCGTTTGTAGGTCGAGAACCTCAAGTGATAGGCTTACCAGGTTTGCATTTTTCTAAAATTACCTTGGTTGACTCAATCACTTTTCTTCTTTAAATTCCAAATTTGGCATTAATTAATATATATTCTTAATTCTTGTTATGACCACTTTAATCTCAATTTTTCAAAATTCATTTTGAATCACTTTATTTCAAGTGGTTGAGAACATGAACAATGAATGCTTGTTGAATCTTGAATATTCTACCAAAAAGAAGGTTCAAAATTTGTTTTGTAATGCAAATCTTTTGAGCCTGAATTCTTTGGAAAAATTATTTTCTTAAAGGTCTTCACGAATTTTGGTTGTTCAATCTTGTCAGAGATTGTGAAAAATAGTGTAGAAAAAAAAAAGGTAAATCCACTGTGAAGTGTGGGCAATTTTTTTTTTGTTTTTCAAAGAAATTTTTGGTAAACTTTAACGGTGAAGCATTCAAATTCTATTTATTTGAAGTGCATATAATTTTAATTTTTACAGTTTCAAAAAATTAGTTAATTTTTATATTTTTAATGTAATAACGAAATGATTCCTTTATCTATACTTTCGTTAAATTTAATGTTAACCATTAATTGACCACACGTCATACCCGTTGTGTATGTTGACCATTTATTTAAATTTATTTATTAATTTTAATTTTTATAAAATCATATTATATTAAAAAATAAAAATAAAAAATTATATATTGAAAAAAATCTAAAAAGTGTCCAAAATTTCTTTCTTTCCTTTTTTTTTTTTCCCCTCTTGGGTGATCAGTAGGCCACAAGGAATGAAGGAGAAAGAAAGAAGGAAGAGACAAAAAGAAAAAGAAAATTACAAAAATAAATATAAAAATTAAAAATTTACCTAATCTTCTATTTGTACATGTTAAATGATCCGTATCTATCATGTGCTAGAAAAGTATAGTCAAAATTTAACGAAAATATTAGTAGAAATTTAAAAATATAAAAATCAACAAATTACAATTTAAAATGTAAAAATAAAAATGATTTACAATTTACTCTTAAATATAATCCATATCTGCTAATAAGAAACTTCATGCTTTTCGCGCAACAAGCTGGTGTGTTTCTTCCAAGTCTAAGTCCAAGTTATTTTATTTTCAATATTCTTATTCCCCCCTGGAGACGGCTTCCAGCGTTCCACTCTTGGTATGTTTTACCTTGTGTTTCTCATTTCTTAAAAGCAAAGCAACTTCCAGCGTCATAAGCTGTAAATATTTTAACGCGGACAATCCGACCAGGACCAGGACCAGAATCATGGAAAATGAAAATCAAATGCCCATGAATATGATGACCAAAGTTGCGTATCGGAAAGTGAATTGACTTTCCCTAGAAGATGCCTGGCCTAGGGGCATGGAGTTACACCTCTCTAATACACAAATATCCATCTTTGTTTATGGACCATTCACAAACGCATGTCTTTGTCGATACCACGTACCCGCGAAAGATTCTTTTCCGCCAAAAGGAAAAGGTCGCGGCCTTGGAATAGTACAATCCCTTGAAACTCTACCAAGCAAAAATCAATTTTATAAGATCTTTGAGATCAGAGCAAATCTAGAGAAATAAATAAAGCAATGACAACAAGAGGACCGTGGAACAGATCCAGTGGTTGAGAATATGCGGAGAATCGTGATAAAAGCCAGTCCCATGCCTTGCTTGCCATTATCTTGTTAAAATAAAGAGCTCCGTCGATGTTTTGATTCGTTTCATATGGGTCCCATCCAAAAGGACAAAGGCTGAAAAGTTGTAACATTTGACGGACCAGCCAGGACCATCCATATACCATTTCACGTTGGCTTGATTCTTGAGGAATTCATGCGAATTTGCTTTGCCCAACCCGTCGCCCAATCATATTAGACTTCTAGTCAAACTTGAGCATCCAATGGCCTCTCTCTGGATGATGGAAAACCATATCTGCTCACCGCTCAATTACCCCACGCTGGCATGCCCAAGTCAGCATGAGACAAACAGAGATGGCAGACAGCTCAGCTATCCATCGAAAAGAAATACGCCTGTTTCCAAACAACCAAAAATATCTGAAAATTTTAATTCAAGCGAGGGAGACCAAAAACCCAAGAAAGGGATAAGAATCAAATCTCAAGTTATAAACAAAATTTAATAATTTTTTCAACTTAACCAAAAAGGATAGTACTTACCTCTAAGAGTTAGACAAAGCCACTCCATAGAGCTAAAAAGTACCAAGAGATTAAAAGGAAAAACAAACCAAACGAACAATGAGAGTAAACAAAAATAGGGTAAAAGGAAGGAAGCCACCTCAAACTCGAAGAGCTAAAAAGAGATCACCCTTGACGCCAAACCTATTCACAGCCCATTATGTAATCTTTGACAAAACATCAGGTTTCATTAAATCAAATTAGGATCAAGGGCTCTACATATTAAACCTACCACATAGGTGCACGTCTATGACATTGTACAAATTCACTTCCAACTCCGGTTCCAACCATAGAAACTGACAGAAGTCAATAATCAACTTGCAGTAATTTATTTCACATTTATTGCAAAAAATACTAGATTTCTGACTTTATTCACTTTGAATGATCACATAATCTATTTAGAAGAACAAAACTACTCAGAGAAATAGAAAAAGAGAAAAAAGATACATTTGGTCAGGCATAAATAAATATCAGACAGCAAACAAATAAGTAAAGCGACTACGGTCAGGCATAAACATCCATATATCAGTGCATCTCATGTTCATTGTGCAAATAAAACTTAATACTCCACTTCCTGCACCTCTCTAACATCCCCGTGTAGTACCCTGTAATCCAGAACTTAGTTTAACCAGGAAAAAAATATCACAAAATGAAACAGAAAGAATTTCTGAAAATATTGAGATAAATCATAAAAAAGAAGTCACGGCAGTGGTACCCACACGTTACTCCCTGTACTCTTTTCCAAAGTTTTGAAAAATCCACCTGTTCAGCTGTACAAATATCATTTGAGCATATAACTGTCAAAAACTCCATCAATAGAACATTATCCAAGGAACCAATTGCAACTTCACCAGATATGTAGTCCCATGCTAACAAGTCCAACCTGCAGCAACAAAAAACATTTTGCTAATAACCCCAAAAGTAATACTTAACCATGTATGGTCTAAAAAATCAAGGCAGTCTTAAGTGATGAAAAAGGGGCTATGTGTGTAACTACCATCTGTATTGGCCACTGTTTTGCTCTAGTATTTGCATAAAACTAACAAAGTATGACAACAATTCCAGTCTTGAAGAATAACATTCTACCCTTCATTGCCATACCAATGAAAGGTAAGCTACTTAACAACCAATTACTCTTTAGATTGTTTGACACATCATATCTAGAATTTAGACTTGTAAATGTTTCAATTTAGAATTCTCTTATTTGAAAATATATAAGATTTGTAGCTCCAAATTTAAGATAAGTAGGGATTTATTGTTTCCATTTTCAGGCTAGATAATATAGACTCATCACCTGAATTAAGGAAACGGTTTTTGACTAGGTTGGATTAATTTGAAATACAAAAAATTGGGCTCTTAAAGTGAATAGGACTATTGATGTTTCTTAGCGTGCTTTGTCGACACTAGTCAATCGGTAAATGCTTTCCTATTTCCACTGAAAGAAACGAAAATCGGGTTCAATGCTTAGGATGAAATTCAGTTAATTAGATGCACGCAATTCTTAAAAAAAAAATGTTTAGCCACACAAATCATGCTTATGTTCTTTATTTTGCTAGACTTTCAAAACGAAAAAAAGAAAGCAAACATCAAATATTGAACTTTTAGTTTTTAAACAAATCACAATTTGACAATTCTCAAAGATACATGGGAAGAAGTTAATGCTTATTGCTCATTACATCAAGAATTCTCAACTTGTATAAACTCAAACTCCTTTTTCTTCACCATTCTTAGGCAAGTGGTCTTAACTTAAACAATGAATTAATGACCATGAAAAATAGACGATAGACAATTGTCAGAGAGCATGGTGTCAAAAGGCTGAAAGCAAGGAGGATATATGATAGTATAATGATTTCCAGATTAAAGGTAAGATAACATAACAGCCAATGCAAATGCTAAAATTCCACCGATGTCCAGATATGATTTCAATTTTTCTTTATTTTCAGGTTAAAGAAGTACTTCCTCGTCGTTGCCTTTCCAAGACTTAAAGCAGCAGGAAATGTGATATCACCAAATTGCGTTTCATAAGATTTCCCAGACACCGGAAAAATTGAAAGTCCAAAATCGCATTGTAATATTCCTTAACTTTCTAGGTAGCCAAACAGATGCGCAATGTTTATATAGAAGATAAAAAGGACGAACTCACCTGACTAGGAAACGGAGGCGGTGGCTCAGAGAGTGAGGATTTCTGTTTAAAAAGTTTTACCAGATTGACGAGAGAGAATGTTGAGGGTTTCTTTAGCTTTCCTTTCACAAACCACAAAGGCTAGTCAAAGAGAAGGTGACGAGGGAACTTTTCTTGGAAACAATATTTTGTCCCCTTGCACAAACCACAATGAGTTCTTGGGTTTTTTTGGTACAGGCGTTTCCGTGGATAGCTGACGTGTCTAATTCTTTGTTTGCCCATCGCTGACGTGGACAAGCCAGGCTGGCGCATATGAGCGGGTTGAGTGCGCAAATAACACCGCCTCTTTTGTGAACCTTCTCCGGCTTCGTCTATAAAACCAAACAAAGGCCACTCTGTTTCTCGAGAACCAAAGAATCCCAGTTCCTCTCCTCTCCTCTCCTCGAAAACCCTATCTTATACTTTCGGTTCCCCATATCTCTTTCTCTTCCCTCGACCGCATAAAACAATTTCCTTGTCTCTTTCTATTTAGTGATTCTTTCCCTTTATTTTTCCTTCATAAATTTACGCTATTTTTTCCATTCCGATAATTGGATCTCTGAAGGAAAAACAAAAGAGGAAAGAATACAACCCACCCTCTCTTTTATCTTTCTCTACAATACTAACGATTTGATTTTCGTTGATTTAATCTAATTATCAATTTTTTAAAAAAAATTTTCCGCAGCTATTTTCTTTATTCTTTAATACCCACCGAACAAGCAAGATAATGGCAATTGCTTGGTCTGCAAAAGCTTCTTCTGTCGAGGCTTTGTCTTTATCTCCTCCTATGTCTCCACCCGTCGTCCTAACGCAAGACGAGCTGAAAAAAATCGCCGCTTACAAAGCCGTTGAGTTCGTTGAATCAGGCATGGTTCTGGGTCTAGGCACAGGTTCGACAGCCAAACACGCCGTGGATCGAATTGGCGAATTGCTTCGTCAAGGGAAACTTAACAACATCATAGGAATTCCCACCTCAAAAAAAACACAAGAGCAAGCTCTTTCTTTAGGTATCCCACTTTCAGATCTCGACAGCCATCCCACCGTTGATTTAGCAATCGACGGTGCGGATGAAGTGGACCCGCATCTCAATCTCGTCAAAGGCAGAGGAGGGTCCCTTTTAAGAGAGAAGATGGTGGAAGGCGCTTGTAAGAAATTTGTCGTTATTGTTGATGAATCCAAGTTGGTTAAGTATTTGGGAGGGAGTGGTTTGGCTATGCCTGTTGAAGTTGTTCCGTTTTGTTGGAAATTTACTGCCAGGAAACTCCAAAACTTGTTTGAAGATTCGGGTTGCGTCGCCAAGCTGAGGAATGATTGTAAAGGGGAGCCTTTTGTAACGGACAATGGGAATTACGTTGTCGATTTGTATCTGAAGAAAGATATTGGGGATTTGCAGGTAGCAAGTGATGCCATTTTGAGGATTGCTGGTGTTGTTGAACATGGCATGTTTCTTGACATGGCTACTACTGTTATTGTTGCAGGTGAGCTTGGAATCACCATCAAGAACAAGTAGAAACTGAAAAAAAAAAATTCTAACTTCTTTTTAATGTTTTAGGGAATTACTGTTGTAACTGGGGATAGATTTTTGAATTCCTTTTTGGCATACCTATTGATTGATGAGGAGAGTTGTCTTCTCAAGTTTTGTTATTTTCTTTGGGGGCATTTCTGAGGGAAGAAAGGATTCAGGAATGTTAGGATTGTGAGACAGCAGCCGCAGCAGCTAAACTATGAGCATGATGTATGTCAGCTGTTATGATCATTTTAATTATAAAGTCTGATTATTAACTGGATGTTGCAAGTTTGATGGTACAATAGACATCTGATTATTTTATATATTTAAATCTATTTGAATTTTTTGACTTAAGTAAGATTGATATTTTTTACAAGGAGTGAGTGTTGTATGTTCTTCAATAGGTTATTATATAGAATTTGCACAGTTGTTGCTTGTTGCGTTCTAATGAATGCAGTCTCAAACCCATGGCTTGCAAATTGCGGATAAGATGAAAGGATTCGGTGTTGGCTCTTGAATGGTGACTACTCATGTTGAATGCTAAGTCTAGTTTTGACATGTGGTTGTTGCTTATTAACAACTCTTGTTAATGTGTGTTACAAGTCCATTCATTGACTCACATCCAACTTTTGTGTTCTTTCCTATCTGCCGAGTAGTTTCCGTTTTTCTGATCTTAGCCACCCTTGACTTGTGAATTGTTTACTCGGTTTGCAATGCCAAATGAAACCCACTTTGAATTGAAGACTGAGAGCTGTGTCCAGTCCAGTTCCAGAGCCAGCTGCCAAGTCTAATGATTATTAGTTCCACCATTTTCATTTTGGTGGTTTAGCCGAGACAGTAATGGGAACTATGGATTGACCTTCACAAATCTTGGGAGGCCAAAGCCTTATTTGTTTATTTTGGTTCAGTGGTTATGCAGGAGATGGAGCTGGAGCCAGCCTTACGTGAAGTCCACCCTCGAAGGGGGTGGGTGAACGGTGAACCATCGGGCCCAAGCCCGAGGTTCTAAACTCTCTACTTAATAAACCCAGAAAAGCAGAATAAATAGTGCATAAAACCTTAAAATATTTTATTATGAACCAATCTAGAAAACGGTGGCATTGTCATTAAGAATTAATTCACAATCTTCGTGGCTTTTTGATCATGCTTTAAAGATGGAAATATGCTAGTTGAGTGATTAAGTTGCTTACCACTCTATTTTATATTTTATGAATTTCATTGCAAATGTCCCATATATTTAAGTTATTTTAGAGTGTGCAAGTTATTTTGTATTAATTACTATGTTACTTATTTATCAATTATTATAATTATTTTACATTATATGGCTTTAAGGTTTAGGATTTTGTTATAAATATCGAGTGCAAGTTCATAGAAACCCTGAAGATTTGCCCTTAATTACATTGAAGGACTCTAGTTTGAGAAATCTACATCCCACCCCATTGTTCTTCAAACTTCAACTTGTATTTAATTTTAAAAAATTTTCTTTGTACTTGACATTCTATATCATCATTGTTTCTACAATTGGTCAAATACAATAATTATTTGTGCTATGATATTTTCGCGTCACAAAATGATGACATGCAATGTAAGAATAGAAATTTGTTAGTATTTAACTACGAGCGAATAAAAAAGTATACAAAATATCTATAACTTTATAATAAAGAAAGACTTGATGGAGCTCTTAGATAGTGTCATATAAACACATCAATAAAGAAGTGCTGCAAGTTAAAAAAAAGTGATCAAGTTTTTCCCATGAAATTGTTAAGAGAGAACTGTTATGCGGTTTGGCCCTGAACGTGTTACATTATTAATAACCTATATGGGTGGTGGGACGTCATTGATAAGACTTGTTTAGTTTATATAATATTAGGAATTAAAACACTATATTTTAAAACAAGGTAATCAAAACAAAAGATGTTGAGAATTCAAAAAACTGTTCAAGTAATTTACTTTTAAAATTTTGACACAAATAATCCATCAACTTTATTTGACCTTATATATCAAGTCCATATATCTATATTTAATGTTCAAATGTTCAATAATTCTTCTTTCTCAGTTGTATCTTCTTTTAACAATTAATTGTTAGATTGGCTTACAAGCTTACGGCAAAAAATGCACTTACAAAGTTTACAAATCATCATTCATCTAACTTTTTGTAATCAACTTAAATTGAAAATTATCTAGCTTGTAATTATAACCAAGTGTCCAAGGGGCCTAGCTACCTATTTAAGCTTAAAGCTACAGCCCAATTCAACCCAACATGATTAGTTTATGTTATTAGCTTAAATAAATACTTCATTTTTACGTAATCTTAATCTTGATATATATTTAACAAACTAAAAAATTAATAAAAACTATTTTATTTCTAATAATAAACGGATTCGACCTAGTTCGGATCTTATAAAAAGGCCACCCAGTGGACCGGCCTGGGCTCGGCCTATGGACTTCTCTGGTTATTACACTGGAAATGTTGATAACTTATTTAACAAATAAAAAGCAGAGGAGACAGATCCTTCACGGTTAAAAGAGGCAAAGGCAACTGTATATAAAAAGTAACATGAGAAATGACTAGACAGTGTACTAGGGTTTACAGGAGAGATTCCTGATTTATAAATTTCTGTCATATATAGTCCTAGCGACTGTAAGCTGTAACTGTGAGTGAGAGAGATTACAAGTCTTCAGTGCAATCAATGGGCCCAAAGAACAAGCTAGAGGCGTACAGAGTCTGCCAATTTAAAAAAAAAAAAAATCAAGAGACAACTTCTATTAATCAATGAGGAATTAAAGGGTTCCCCAAGCAAGAACAAAAGCAACGTCCAGAAGGCTGAAAAGGATGATATGCCCTCAAACAAAAATCAGCATACCTTCCAGTAACACCATGAAGGCATCAAAAAGAGGTCCATCAGACCCATCAGAGTCTGCCAAATCAAGGTACACTTTTGCATAGCATCGATTAACATAGCATGCCTCCCAATTTTCAAATAGGGAAATCTTAGTGCTTCTTTTTTGACTCAGTTTACTATGACTTCGAACATGAAACGAGATTATTAGTAAGAGACTTGACTTGACTGGATAAAATCCAACTGTCCAAACTACTTTTGATACAGTTTGTCAATCATAGTTGGAAGCCAACAAGTTTGGTTCTCTTAAAGAGCCAACTCCTTCGAGCAATATTCTTTTGCAATGTTCACTTATTAGAAGTACGTACATGCTTTATGTATCTTCTTCAACCAAAAAATTTAAATGAAATAAATAAAAAGACATGCTTCTTAAGTCTTAACATGAGCATGCTATACATGTTATATTTCATATTTGCATTTTTGTTTAATAATTTGAAAAATAATGATTCAAATTTTATTTTTTAAGTAAAAAATCATATACTAAATAATGTGTCAAATGCTCAAATGTATGTTTTATTTTTGCATTTCCTTTTTAAGTATTTCAAGACATTTAATGCACTTTTTCTAATAAGAAACACTTGACATTGTCTTACATATATTCAATAGAAAGTTTTGATTATATCATAAGGGTGTTAACTAATTAAGCTAAAAAAACACTTTAAAGATCATACCAAACCAGCTGGAGTTCTTTTTTTTTCATCGAAGAGATAAGCTTGTAATTGAGGGAAGAGAAGACATATAACCTCTAAGCTATGAGAAAGATCCACCTAGCATGAACATATTACGGCTTAATGTGTGCTCAAAGGGAGCTAATCCAATCGTTTGATGCCCCAAAGTAATATGTTATACTTTTTTTTGTTCAAAATTAAAGTTCACACTCACTTTCTTTTTATCTTATTCTAATATTATGAGTAATTAAGATTTTAAAAAATAAGTTTTAAAAATTCTTAATCTCAAAATGTTTAAATTTTTTAAAAATTTTAATTTTACGTTATATCAATATAATTAGAAAAAAAATGTAAAACGAACATTTTAAGGGAAAAAATAATATGATACTAGGCCTTACTTGGAGTGTAATTCCTCTTTATTCAACTCCAACTAATTATTCCACCGGTTACAGGAAAAAAAATCATTATGCATGACGTATTGATGTATAAAGTCGGTGATGGCCTTCAATTTGATCCGTGCATGGTTATGAGTTCAAAATGCAATGAAATCAATCCGCTGTAATAATGAGATTCTTGGCCTCCTAAAGTAGAAGATCGGGGCGATAGAAAGGAAGACAAAGGCAGATGGAATAGGTGGCTGTCTAGGACAAATGGGATCGGGATGGAGTGAGCGGCAAAGCTTTGCATCTACAGTAGTTGCCATTTGATGCATACAGCTGTATGACAAGATATTCAGCAGAGCACGACAATAGTTGGTTTGTCTACATCGAGCAGAAAGGCTTAAAAATGCTAGGATAATATTCAAAACACACATATGATAATATGCATGACCCTGCCCTCAATCTACCTCTCAGCCTGCCCTTAGATTTCTATGTCGAGACACCCCATCCATCCATTCATTTCTACCTGTGAATCCGCTCTCCTCTCCCATCCTCGTACCTACCCTTTACTCTATGTCTAAGCAAGTCACATGTGATTCAGCCGGGGCTTTTCAGCTTACTTTGGGAAATAGTACAGAAGATTGTTTCCGTTGTTGCATGAACAGAGTTCTCTACTACTCTTTTTTCTCTCCTATATACGAGTTGCTTAGTCCCTCTTTTTTGCATCAAAAAATTGACTTGTGGAGTGTTCCTAATTGCAAGCTTGTCTTTGCGTGATGGTCAAATAATTGAAGCCCTAGCTAGGCAGTCCTTTGCCTCTCCTATCAAAGCTTTCGAAAACCCTATGAGTCCGCTTTGCACCAATAAAGTCAATAACCTTAATTAGTCCATTTTTGGCTCACTCTGCTTTCTCTCTCTCACAAGATTCTTAGATGTATAGGAGAGGGGGCGGGGGCCGGCACCTGATGGATAAATGTCCATATATTATATATCTAGATATATTAATATACTATGAATGTTGAGTGTTTGTGATATAGTATATTCGTGTGAGGGTTATGGATGAAGGAGCTCTCTTCAGTCCAGTCCGAGGCAGTTGAGGGCTGGTACTCGGCTGCTGACTCGTTGGTTCAAAAGCTCATCAAAGAATGCGCAGGAAAATATGATGTGTTTCTGATCCAACGATGCAGGAGCTGCGTTCAGTTCTAGCAGTCACGTCTTGGACTGAAGGGAGCTCCCTCTTATTAATTCCACATAATTATTTTAATTCTGATCTGATTAAGCTATGTTAACCCTAGCTACTATTCTTGCATTTTGCGGTAGGTTGTTGCAGAAAAGGCTTACATATAAGAGAATCCGGAGAAGATCAATCACGTATAGCACACTTCCATGCGTGTTGGAGGCAGCTTACTTTTCTGGGTTTGATCTGTTGCCCTTGACACAGAGCACGAAACCTTAAAGCTAAATGGCGCGTGGAACTTTCGCCAGGTCTTTTGTATGAAATTATGAAAGTCTCTCCAAGGTTCTTTCCAAACTTTTTGCTGCTAATAATAATTTGTTGTCTTTTTTATATGAGAATTTTAATTTTTAATCTAATAATTAATTAAGGTAAAAATTAAAGATCTATAAAAAAAACTATCTTACTAACGATTTAAGTATCTTGCTTTTAATTGCATTCACACTTTTTTTTTTAAGATTTTAAAGTTGGTTTTAACAGGCGTAAAGCCACTCAAGGGGTTTAAGGCAATAACGAAATCAAGATTTTAAATTTGAGGAGATGAAAATAAAAAATTTGATATTTGAAGAGATGAAATTATAAAATTTTTAAAAATTAAAGATAAAATTTTAAAAAGTAAAATAAAAAAATATAAATTTTTTAAATTTTGGGGGACAGGGTGCCTACTATCCTCTCCCTCCGCCTCTGCTTTAAGGGCTTTAGACTTTAAATTTGAAAAGATTCTATAATAATAATAATAGTAGTAATAATAATAAAAAAATTAATTATATTAAAAATATATAAAAATTAAAATAATTACCAAATATGTATTTAAAGATTTTTAATAGTTATTTTTTATATATATACAAAATTAATTTTTTTTTAATTTATAAAATCAACTTTTAAATTTTTCTATCCTCGTTTGCTATTTTTTTCTTTAACTTCAATTTTTTTAAAAAATATATATATAATAAATTTGTTATGTTATTATCATCATAAAGCTGTAAGCCTCATTTAGAATTGATTACTTCTTATATATAAGAGATCAAGCAATTTCTTCAATCTAAAGTAGATTAGAACAATTTAAGATATATGAAATTATTTTTGACTTTCTATTTAGTATTAAAAAGTTGAAGCGATTAGACGATAATAGTTTAAAAGAATATTACCTTAATTTTGAATATTCTTTAAAATATAATAACTATTTTAATACTGATAGTTTAAATTTATTTTCAAAGCTAATTTTTTTTTTAAAAATATACAAATAAAAAATAACAGTTCAATCGACATATTTAATCATATAAAAAAATTTGATTCGTTTTCAAATGCATATATTGCTTTTAGAATAATGTTAACAATTTTAGCAAGTATTGCTTAAGAAGAAAGAAGTTTTTCAAAACTAAAATTAATAAAATTTTATTTAAGATTAATGATGTCTTAAGAAATATTAAATGGATTAGCTATATTATCAATTGACAAAGAATATTAAAATAACTTGATTATAAAAATTTAATTAAAAATTTTACATCTCAAAAGACTAGAACAATAAAATTTTAATAATTTTTTAAAAATTTTAATAAAATAGACCTCATTTAAATATTTCATTTTAAGTCTTTGAGATTATTGAGTCAGCTCTGATTTCAAGAGAAAAAACTTTTTCAAAACTGAAATTAATGAAACATTAACATGTCTTAGGAAAGATTAAATGGATTAGTTATATTATCAATTAAAAAAAATATTAGAAGAACTTGATTATAAAAATTTAATTAAAAATTTTGCATCTCAAAATACTAAAACAATAAAATGTTGTTAAATTATTTAAATTTCCATACCAAAGGCATCATTTAAATAGTTCACTTTAAATTTTTTAAATCATTAAGTCGTCCCTAGTTTTTAAATAATTGTTATGAGCAACTATGTAGCAATCTTTACCTAAAGTAAGATGTCCAAATTCTAAAACCTATTCATATAAGATATATAATAATTACAAAAAAAAAAAGAGTGCAATTATTAGAAATTTCTCCATAACTGTAAGTTCAAATTTATGTCATCTCATTATTAATATTTTTACTTAGACATTTTTAATGTAAGATTTATTTTAAATTCTTATACTAATTAAGAAACTTTATTTACCTATTAATTATAATAATATTTATCAACACATTGCAATTGAGTTTTGTAAAGAAGAGAAGTATAAACAAAAGTTTTTTATCATTACAATATTTATTAATTAATTCTTTTACCATCCCTTGTTCTTTATTGATTTTTATGGATAAATAATTTTCACTCTCATGTCTAAACCATGTACTACTAATTTTTTACTCTTATTGAGCTTTAAAAAACATTTTTCTTTACAATAATTATTTATCTAATATTATATAAATAATATAATTCTAAGATACATTGAGTCCATATCTCATTTCATCACCTGTACTGTGTTAATGAGCAACATCTTTATCATTTACAACCTCTTCATCAGTAAAAGATCTTACTCTGACACTGCTGACTTCATATGATAAATATCATATTAACAAAGCCATTTAATATAAAGTTTAATTGTCCTTACACTATGCATCGAGATTCTACTGACTACACATGTTCAATAAGAGTCACAATAATTTTTTTTTTTTGAAAAACAAAGAGTCACGATAATTTGCACCCATTATAAATAGTTGGTGGAGAAATTTACTTTTTAAAAACTATATTGGTTCTACTAATTTTTAAAAAAAAATTAAAATACTCTTTTAGAAATGCCATTTCTGCTTGCAAAAACATTTTATTCACTAGAATTATAGAAGTAATTAAAACCCATTTTTAATTATCCAAGGAATAAGCATCTATCAAATTTTAAATGCTGTGTATTAAGAACTTTTCTTGTTGTAATTTAAATGGAGTTTTAAATTTATTTTTTTGGGATTTTAAACCTTGATTCTAACGAACCAACCAGAAAACAGATTTGAAACCCAATTGATTCTTTTTAAAATAATCAATCCAAATGGTCTCATCACACTATCAGCAAACGGTACAAAATTGGTTATCAATAATATATATAAATATATATATATATATATATTTAAATTCAACATTAAAAAGTTAAGTACTGAATTTTTAATTTTAAGTATTGAATTTATGATATAAAAATTGTTGGTATGTTATTGAAAGCTAAATGTTAAATAGATTAATTATTTTATATTGATAAAAGTTAATAAAGAAAAAACAATAATTTTTCTTCAAATAAAATTGATTGAATACATTACCTAGCTAAAGACTATTAAGATTATCAATACTTTTTTATTGAAAATCTTCTATATATTAAGTGAACTCTAAAATAAATTCTCGTACGCATTAAAAAAAATAAATCATTAAAAATTTTAATAAAAAAGATTTATAGAAAACATTCATCAATGTCATAAAAATTGTTTGCCAATATGAAAATACATAAAACAAATTTTGCCATGGACTTGTCCTTTTAATTTGATTAGAGGGAGGGTTCTAATATAAGTTTTGAAGCAAAAAATATATATAATATATTAATCATTAAATTAAATATGGGGATACCTAAAAACACAAACCAATAGAAACATACAAACAACAACGGGGAATGCCTTGCGACAAAAAAAAAAAGGTAACAATACCATTAAACTTAGGAACAGATACGGGAACGTTTTGAACTCTGTTGTCGACATTGATAGCTTGGAATGGCCGAATTGGAAATGGATTTTAGAAATACTGACAATAAAGGGTACTAAAGGGCAAAAAAGAGTCCCAAAATTTTCCATCATAAGAAAGTCCTATTAATTTGTTTGAATTAACAAAAATAAAAAAGTTGGGTGGTTTCTTGCTTTTTTTAATTTGATCCACTTATCAGGCGATATCTAAACTCGAAAGTTCTTCCGTGAATCTTTGGTTCTCTCTTGTATTTTCTTCTCTTCAACTGTCACTTCTTTCTCGACGTATTTTCCTGATTAGTAAGTTCTCGCTCTAACCCGCTCTTAGTCTTTGATACCCTTTTCTGCGTTCTCATTGATTTAGCTCGAGCAGGAATTTTTGTTTAATCTTTTCAGCTTTTTATCCATTTTCTCTGAGCTCATTTAATTTCTTGCTGCTGGGTATTTTTTAAGTTATGGTTATTGATAAGTTTGTGAGATTTTGTGGTACTATTATGAATCCATGTTTTACAATTGACGACTTTCTCCAATGGGTTTTGGAGAATGTGTTGGATTTGGCTATTTTTGTTGTGTAATTCTTGTTCTGTTGTAGGGTTTGCAGGAAGAAATTGAAAATTTGGTGTTTGATATTCTAAGTACTTGGAAAGAAAGATGTTTCGTTATTTAGCTGAAATTGCTAAAAATGATATGAAGTCTAGCGGTGAAGATTTGCTGAGTGCTATAGTGCCTTTGATGAAACTTCTGTCTCTTACAGTTATAGGATTGGTTCTTGCACATCCCAAAACGCAAATCATTCCGAGAGCTACATTTAAGCTCCTAAGCAAGCTTGTTTTTGTCCTATTCTTGCCCTGCCTAATTTTTACCCGACTGGGTGAAAGCATTACGCTTGATAGCATTGCTCAGTGGTGGTTCATTCCGGTCAATGTATTAATCAGCACTTTTATTGGTTGCTTGCTTGGGTGCTTGGTGGTTATTATATGTCGCCCGCCACCTCAGTTCAAGAGATTTACCATTATCATGACTGCCTTTGGCAATACTGGGAACCTTCTTATTGCTATTGTTGGATCTGTATGTCACACTTCTAATTCCCCTTTTGGACCCCATTGCCACTCCAGAGGTGTGTCCTATGTCTCTTTTGCACAGTGGGTTGCTGTAATTCTTGTCTACACCCTTGTTTATCACATGATGGAGCCACCGCTGGAGTTCTATGAGGTCGTTGAAGAAGGGACTGAAATTGAGGAACAGAGGCCGCTTAATGATATGAGCAGGCCTCTTCTTGTAGAAGCTGAATGGCCAGGCATTGAAGAAAAAGAGACCGAACATTCTAAGACACCATTCATTGCCAGGGTTTTTAACAGGCTCTCAAGTCGTTCACTAACCACTTTTCCCGACCTTGATACCAATGTAGAGTCTAGTGATAGCAGTCCCATGTCCATTCGGTGCTTGGCTGAACCCAGAGTAGTGAGGAAGATCAGAATTGTTGCCGAGCAAACTCCAATACAGCACATACTTCAGCCCCCTACAATTGCATCCCTGTTAGCTATCATTGTTGGTATGGTGCCTCAATTAAAAAGCCTTTGTCTTTGGAAATGATGCTCCCCTATCTTTCCTCACGGACAGCTTGGAGATTTTAGCTGGTGCAATGGTGCCTTCCGTGATGCTCATTCTTGGGGGTATGCTAGCCGAGGGTCCAAATGAGTCCAAGCTTGGACTCCGAACCACTGTTGGCATAATGGTGGCAAGGCTCTTGGTGCTACCTTTGCTGGGAATAGGGGTTGTGACACTTGCTAGTAAAATGAACTTTCTTGTCCCTGGTGATGCAATGTACGGATTTGTGCTCTTGTTGCAATACACTACACCAAGTGCCATTTTGTTGGGAGCTATTGCTAGCTTGAGGAATTATGCGGTTAGTGAGGCTTCAGCACTTCTCTTCTGGCAGCATGTGTTTGCCCTATTTTCTTTGTCTCTGTATATTGTTGTTTACTTTAAATTGCTGCCAAATATGTAGCTTGAGAGGTTTGCCTAATGCCTTTGGCAGATTAAGATCTTGCTGTGTAATTGTTTAGCAAGCAAGTGCCATCACAATGCTGCTGTCGCCATCCCATTGAATAAGATGGACTCGTTTGTTTGTTCGATGTGCTTTACTGGATACTGGCGATGCGATGAATGCAATTGATTTTCCTTGTATTCTTCGTAAGACCAGAGCAAACTATTTGTTGCTTTCTCTCAATGGTTGGATGATTTAACCATATCTCCCAAATTTTTTGTAATCTGTTTTGGAACAAAAGTATTTAGAGAATGATTGCTATGACCGCCCATTAAAAAAGGACACGTCATTGCACCCTATTATTTTATATTGATCTATATAAAAGATCATATTGAGAATTTAAAAATTATTTATATAAAATAGAAAAAATTAAAAAAACATAAATATTAATTAGGTATAATGTATTAAAAAGTCTTTAAATTATTTTAAAATTTTCAAATAAATTTTTATTCTAATATTACTTTCATTCAAGTTTTTGAACTTTTATATTGAACCTAATAGATTTTTATAAATAATGATTGATTTTCGTTATTCTACTTATCATTTTATAATTATGTGATGCAAAGATAGTAAGTGAAAAAATCACATAATCATATCATGTACCACATCAATAAATCATGTCATCATTCACGATGATATGTCAATATATTATATCAGTGTTTTGTTATATAGAACATTACAAGTAGTTTTTTGACTAATGATAGTTAATCACTGTTAATCATAAAAATTTATATAATATAAAATAAAAATATAAAAACTTAATTAAATATAATAAAAAATAAATATTTATTTAAATTTTTAAAAAATTATTAAAAATTTTTTAGATATCATATCTATTAATTATCAAGTATATAAAATTAAAATTTTTTGACAAGATAAACAATTTTTTTTGTTTGGTGATAGCACTATGAATTTGTAAAGGAAAAAAATAATTTTAAATTTGAAAATAACAATCCCCCTACATAATAAAATAAACAAAAACAATCACCAATGTGAAAAAGTATATTAGCATAATAAGAAATTATAATATAAGAATTTCAAAAAAAAAAAGAAATCATACATAAAAATTGCTAATAGATACAATATTTCAAAAGTTTTGGGTGAAGGGCCTATCTATTAAGATGACATTAAGGATTCAATTTTTTATGAATATGTAAATTGAGAATTATTATTTAAATAATTAAATTAGATTAGATTTACACTTTTCTAGCATAAATAGTATTTCAGAATTTGAGTATTTGGTTTATTAATTAGTGTATGTTCTTCTTATTTAAAGAGTAGAGTTTAAATTTCGATTTCACCAATTTAAAAATAAATAAATAGCATTTCATTGGAAGTCACCAAATATTCATTTTCATTAGTCAAAAATTTAATTGACATTCATGTTTTTATATATATACCCTACACACATACATTAAATTTTGTCAAACATGTCTCAACTTTTTTTACAACACTTTCTACCCTCCTTGCCATTTGTTACACATGAAGGCGCACACAATGCTTCTATCCTCCCTAGGTTACTAATTAAAGGCAATTATCTCATATAATCATTGGGACCAAAAATAAGTTCAATCAAATAATGATGAAGTCACATAAGCAACTTAAATATAAAATTGAATTAACTTGGTTTAACTCCAACAAGCTCAATATCAAAAGCATAAGCATAGTTTTGGGCAAATATATATATATATATATATAAAATAAATTTATATCCTCAATATATAATTAACAAAATTTATGAATTATTGGCATACTTTAAAAATCAGATCCCAAAACCAAAAATAAGCCAAAAAAAAAAACCCAAATAGTTTATTGTTCTGTATGAATTTTCTATGTATTTACAAAGGAGATAGATCATCACTTTTCTTACATCATATGGATCCCAGCTACAAGAACCCCCTTAGTTATTTCCATGACATGGAAAAACATCACAGCCGCAGAAGTTGGCACACTTAACACTATCAAAGCCAGCATCCCCAGAGCCAAGCTTGGCCTCGTGTTCATCAACTGGGATTGCAAAACACCCATAACATCACATATTATCGAATCATAACTCGTGTAACAACGTTTCTCCCACTCCATCCAATTCGCCGGAGGCTCGTAGTTCCGCTCGATCATCTTCAGCTCGTGTAACCTTTTCCGGAGAACAATCATGTTTTCATCAACAAGACGTCCGCTACAATTTTGGTCGTGCGCCTCTCTTCTCATGGCGAATGTCTTCATCGAGATCGCCTTCCTCTGACGATGGTTTCGAAGGCAGGTTCTTGAGCTGCTAAAAGGGTTGAAGGAAAGAGAGGATGAACATAGAGACGTTGATTCCATTGCTTTCTGAAGCAAAGAAAATTTCGAAGGATAATATTCGTCGATGTAAATGGGGTAGTACCGGGTCTGGCACTCTATTTATAGTTTGATAGGCTGAATAAAGTATGGTTGTGGGCTCGTAGGACATGTGACTTAAGCGATACCTTAGACGACAAGGGGTGGCGAAACCGTGTCTGTTAACAGCACATCTACAATTTTGTAGCGCGTTATTTCAGAGTGGATCCCAGTACGGCAACACCTGTCACATCGTGATAGCGGCATGTGGCTTATTCCCATTTTTTTCAAAATCCTTTAATTTATATATGCACGATTAAGTTATTCTTTTATATCCTAATCTTGCTTATTAATTAAGACTCCTGACCGCAATTATTGCTAAAGTCACCAATTATTGATTTCAATTAAGTTTAGGAATGATGCAGGCTATTCTTTTTCCCAATACACAGTATGGGTAAGTAATTTTTCGGTCACATCACTGCTTGACTTACATCGTCAAGTGACGGTGTTTCGTTACGGAGAAGCGGCTCGCATTTAATCAGGACGACGGCAAGGTTCTCTGTATCTTCATGCAACAATTAAGAGAGACAAAGACAAAATGGAGAGACGTACGGGAATAAAATACATGAGAAAGTCCGCCTATGAATTTATATGTAATAAAACCAAATTTTCTGACAAATTAAGAAAAGAGCAGGGTTGACAGAAGTAAGTAATGCTAGTTGGTTTTTGGTAATATTTTATATGTATGTCAGAGCACATGACGGGGGAAAATACATGGAATAAGCAAACCTTTGTGAATTAAAAAGTATTTGAAATTGGATTCTGGACGTATAAAGAATAATTTGACTAATTTATACTGAATTATTTAAGTATAAATATATATAAAAAGGCCGTCCATGAGGATAACAAATAGATGGGAGAATGGGCAGCACCACCACCACCACCGGCCGTGGCCAGGTATCGTTGACTAAAGACAGGGTCACATTTGAGGCAAGTGGGGCAGGTGAAAGGGGTTATCCCATTTGCAACTGTATAACTGACTCCTTAAACCATCTTCAACTAACTATTCACGCGTTTTTTTTCTCTCTTAATTCCGTAACCATCTTGTGTTTGTTTAACAGAATGATTGATAGGAAGATATCAAATCAGTGAGTAAATTAAAGGAAAAGTTATTTCTTAAAATTTGTTTGGTACGAATGATGTAAAATATAAAGAAAAAACAATAAAAAATGATTAATTTAAAATAAAGTCTTAGGTCAGCAAATGCTATATGCAATTAATTAAGAAATCTCAAATTGATTACTAGCTTATGTTTTGTGTCATAGGTCAGAACTTAAAGTTTAATTTTATGTGGCCAAACTCTAAATCACGAGTAAAGGTGATAAGTGGTGGAAGATCCATGTTTAGAAGCTTGATTGTATTTATCTTGTTTGTTTATAAATGTGGTAATTAAAGAGTAAAGGTTGGTATTTAGGAGTAGACATAAGAAAACCTATCTAACAAACCATTATTGGAGTTAAAGAGTTATTACATGCCCCATTAGGGTATATGTTAAAAACATAATAAATTAAAAAATGTGTGACAATATAGTAACTCTGTTTGTAGAATTTAAAAACCTTATTGATTGTGTATAAAATAATAGTCCGTAAAATAAATACGTATATGATTTGCTAATTAACTTTAATTTCAAGTAGTTATTAAAAAGAAAGAAAGTCTTTGTACAAATATGGTAAAAATATGATTTTCACAGCATAAGAATGTTATGTTTACAATAAAATTAGATTATGATGACAATGAATATAGTTAAAAAAAAAGCTCCTAAAGCTTGCTATCTAAGTAGTAACAACGTGAATCCTAATTATGTTATAGCCCTTTCAACACGGCCATAACATGAAAGAGAAGTACGGCCGTTGAAGTTGATACGCTCAAAAGAAGAAGAGCTCCCATTCCCAAAGCCACGCTGGGCCTGGTTTCCATTAGTTTTGATTGCAAATATCCTAGTGCTTCACAAACATCGGAGTCGTAGTCATCTTTCTTGTATTGCTTCTCCCACTCCATCCAATGCTCGGGAGGCTCGTGATTCTTCTCCAACATGCTCATCTCGTGAATTCTCTTTCTTAACACGATCATGCCCTCATCAACTAGCTTCCCATCAAAGTTGCGACCATGTGCGTCTCTTTTCGACGCCGATATTTTGATAACTACTCTCTTTTCTCCTCCGAGACCCTTTCTACGGCATAATGGATCGCCGGAGAATGGACGTGGCGAGAGAGCTGAAGTTGTGGAACAAAGAGAAGAAGTCGCTTCCATGGTTTTGGACGCTAAACAAAGTTGCTAAAGTTGCGGAAAGATATATGAATGGGGCAAAGCACATGGCAAAACGGAGTATTTATAGACAAAGTGGGTATTGACACGTGGCAGGAATTTACAAGGTTGATTTCGCAGAAAGCTAGGCTGGCCCAAGGGAATGGTGACGTGTGGGACAATCTCTTCAATAGGAAAGTAGAAGCTTCTGTTACGAGAAGTGGGAAATTGTATTGTACTGTAGCGGCGCGCGATCCTACCGCGTAACTAATAATAATTTGACAAGGACTTTTAATTATCTTACTTATCTTGGAAATTTAGTTAGTTTTAGATGGATATGGTATCTAAAAAAGGTCTTTAAATTATTTAAAAAAAGTTAAATAAATTATTTTTATTTTATTTTATTAAATTTTTATATTTATATTTTAATATAAATAAATTTTTATATTTTTATTTTGAATTAAATAAACTCTTATAATTAATGATTAACTTAATCAAAATATCATTTATCATTTTATGTCGTATAGTATTAACATAGCATATAATTTATTATAATTAAAGGTAAGTAAATGAGTGAATTGAATGATTTGGTTCATCATACTTAAAGACCAAATGGATTAAATATTTTTAAAAAACTGACTAAAATCGACTAAACATAAAAAAAAATTAAATCGACTGAACATAAAATTGGTTTGGTCAATTTGATTTTAGACTAATAGATCAAAATTTTATCATTTTTGTTTTTATAAATTACAATATTAAAACTTATAAACTTCATCTATAATTATAAAATACACAACTTATATATAAATTAAATATATGTATATATAATATATTACTTTATTATATATATGAAATTAATGAAACAATTTATATGTTATAATATTTTAATTTTAATATCAAAATTTGTATAAATAAT